AGCTGCCTGTAGAAGGCCTCGTCGACTTGCTCGTCCTGATCTGGTGGCCTCATGGGGGACTTTTGACAGGGCAGAGTGGCTCTTTAGGCTCCCACCACTGTCCATGGAAAGTGGCAGGCATCTCTTAGGACACCTTGTGCCACACCAAGGAATGAGATGGTGCCTCACAGTGCCCCTCCGTCTGTACTGACCACAGGGTACAGACAACTGCCTTCGGCTGGACAGGTAGATTTTGGATGTCAAGAGCCCGGTGAGATTAGTTCCCTCCTTCATGACTACAGTAGCAAGCAGGAGTTTTGCTTCAGCTCCATTAAAGTTCCATCTTCTCCTTGTACTCGGGGCTCCTTCAAACCACTGAGAAGGGGACAGATAGAGCCTTCTGGTACCCAAGGGGTCTCAACTCCCAGGACGTGTGGTGGACAATGGTGAAGGAGACAGAAGGTTTAGATGGAGCCCACAGATTAAAAAGGCTTCTAGTGCTACCCAACACCTTGACCTGCTGACAGGTTTGCCAACTAAGCAATACAGAAGATGTCACATTTTGCCCACCTCTGGTTTCATTCCAGTGACTAGCCCCAGAAATTTAGCATTTCAAAAACAAAATAATCAGATTCTCTCTCACTGAAGGAGCCAAGCCATGAAAAGCTTGTAAGGAGGAGTGCATGACAGGCCTGGCTACACTTTCTAGCTCGCTCGCTGAAGCTGCCACTCACAGGAGTGCTGCAAAAGAAAACCTCCCATGCACTGCAACTGTGGTCACATGCTGGGAGACCTGTATTCCTGCTATGGTAGGCTCTTCAGTTGTAACTGAGTCCTAACTATGCCATTAAGTGTCTCAAAGTCCAATTCTCTGCTGGTGCTAGTTGGCTGCCAGATAGATTTATGGGTCCTTGTGCCAGGGTTAACCTGGCTTAATATGTTTCAGCATTACTTATGTATTACAAATACTAGACTCTCTTTTCTCAGAACATTTAAGACTAAGTTCTTTGCTTGCCCAAATAAACTCTAAGATTAGAGTCTCTGTTTTGTGGTTTGATAAGTAAGGGCAACTTCATGTGATTTTAACAAGTATTTCTTTCATATTTTGTGTATAGCTGTATTTAGTTGATCATTTACACTGAAGCTGCTGTTATAATTTGATGGTTAAACTCTGCCTAAAAATATCCCTAGTGTTCTACAATTAAAGGGAAGCTATGGAAAGAATACCTATTTAAAAGGCAAAGCTACACATCCCTCCTCTCCACCTATTACTTTTCCTTCTTAATAGAAAAAGACTGTCTGTTGAATAATACAAGTTCCCTTACAATACAGCCTATGCTGTGCCTTATCCGCATTCAATCCTCATCCATCACATCTCAAAAACTTAAGCAGCAGAAGAAAGAAGCTGCCTCCTACTTTTATATTAACGTCCGAACACAAAAAAACTAAATGAAACAAACATCAAACCACACTACATAAGGAGCAAGTATTTAACATTTTGTCAAAATGCACTCAACAGCAAAGTCATGCTAGGTAGCTGAGGCAGGTCAGTCCCAGGCAGTGGCTGCAGTCCTCCAGCAGCACTGCACTTGTGTTACACGAGAGTTAGATCAACCCTAGGCTTCCTGCTGGTGCTGAAGTAAAGACTATACAAAATACATGCAAATGTAGCATAAAAAGGTAGCTTTTACTCAGCCCATGGCATGGCTCATGAGAGAACAGGAGTGTGATTGATTTCTTCTTTGTTATACAGAAGGAATTAACACTGGCGAAGCTGTTTGCATTTGTGTCTCCAGAGAAGACTCATCTCGTCTTACCCGAGACCTTACACAAAGGAAACCTGTTGGCTTGCCTTCACCTGACCAGCGGTAAAGTGGGAGCTGACTGCTGGTGCTAAGCATTTTGAAATACATTATGCAAAAGCTACTAAATGTAGCCTGTTTTCAAACAAGTTGGCTCTTAAAACTGCAATTTTCTTCAAAGGAAACTGCTTGGGTTTTCTTAACCTACGCATCCACTTGAATAGGTAAGTAGACCAAATGTTTGCTCACTGAAGAAAAAAAGTCCACCCACGTCTATTAATTAATAACAACCTGAACAGCAAAAGCCCAGCTGCATGAATTGTGACCACATAATATGCACACCTTTGTGTACTTACTGCCTGAGCACATCAGCTTCAGGCACAAGTGATAAGCACAAGATTGCCAGTTTCTCATGCATGAGTCTGGGCTCTTGCTTACTATATTTACTCTTCCACCTTAAGATAGTATCTTTAAAGTTGGAAAAAATAGAGGAAATACTCGCAGGCGAGTAGTAGCATCAGGCCTTCTGTTTTCTATAGGTTCTAATTAGCATTAGCTGAACCCAGGAGAGCCACTACAGTTTCAAGGGGCTCCTTTAAACACTGTAATGAAGCACACAGACAAATATGGCATTCTGGCATATCCTTTTTAGTGGCAGCAGTGCCTCTGACACTGACCTCCCTCAGCTGTCTTCCTGCGATTATCCAGAAAATGTGAAAACCAGATTTATGAACCATTCAACAGCTTTGAAATTATTGTCAGAAAGTCCCAGGAGACACGACACGTTTAGCTAACAGCTAAAGAAGCCTGAACTTTCGGTATATGACACGTGCATAGGTGTAGCCTCTGCGACACCGCAAAAGCAAGCAAGAGCAAGTTCCAACTTTAGCTTCCTTTCAGTAGATCCAGTCATCTGGGGCAAAACTCTCACACAGAGACAGTGACCATGTAGCACTTTCATGTTCCTCTTTAAAACTTTTAACACAGGCCCATAGCAATGCACAGATGGTCTGCCAGCCTCCAGACAGGCACCAACTTTCTGCTCTGGGAATCTACAAGCCAGATCACCGTGATGCAGCTCTCTGGCTCCTTGCGGACACTGGATCCCTAAGACACCTGTCTGGTCCTGCTCTCCCTGGATGGACATGAAAATGGCTGTCTGCAACATGAGAGCTGCCCAAGCAGCCACAGAGCCCCTTGGGCACCCCTCTCGTACAGCCATCTGAGATTTGGACAGTGGCTACTCCCGCAGGAGGGCCAAGGGAAAAAGAGTTGGCAATGGTGGTGCCACCTCCCCAGCCACAGCCGGCTGTCTCTTGGGGTCATCTGCTGCCTGGACCCTTCTTCCCCCTGACATATAGCAGGGCAAGAGAGTGTTTTTAGGCCATGGCTGCTGCTGGGAAAGGCTTGGGGGTGGTTGAGAGGAGGTGAATGCGGGAAGGGGAGAAGGCTGTTCACAGAGGTGTGTGGTAGGGCATGGCCACCTGTGCTGTGGGGTGCAAAAAAGGCTGCTGTTGCTGGTGAATTGACCCAAAGTGAGCAGGAGGAAGATGGAGGCTGGGATGAAGAGGTTGGAGGGTGTTAAGTGAATTTACTTAGGCAGTCGCAACAACAGGCACAGCGAAAGCAGGTCTCTCTAGTCTCACCTGGTCTTTAGTGAGCTATCTGGAGGTATACCAGTGTGCATTAAAATGGGGAGAAACTAAGGACATGAAAAAGATGCCAGCAAAAGAAAAGCCATTTACTCACCACACTCATGTAATGGAGCATACGGCCATCCACCTTCCCTTCATCAAACTGGGTCTTATACTGGGGGAGGCCAATGTCATCCAGCCACCCTAAGGCAGAGACAGACACCCATGTTAGCTGAGCAGCCAAGCCACCTAGCACCAGTTAGTGTTATTCTCACTCTTGGAGCCCCAAATTAGCCATGATTAGGAACTCCTATCAAAAGTTGCTGCTTCAACATCTTACTGGTGACCCAGTGGTAATCCAGTTTTCCATGATTGTTTTCCTCTTCAGACCCAAGTGCCTGCAGAGCAAGCTGAAGCTTCTTCCGATGCAATGGGTGTTTTATCCCAAGCTCCTGTGAAGGTAAGGAAACCAGTGAAGCTAGAGACAATACTGTATTTTATTTCTCCTTCTACTGTATTACAAATGATTTCAAGAGTCACACTGTACACAGCACTTGCTGGTGACCTGGCAGGTGTATTTTATATTTGCCGATTATCAGCACCGTTTTAGCACATGTTCAGCACTACAGAAAGACCTGCTCACTGTGGTGGATTAGTTTCAAAATGTGGTGGATTCGAAACTATGAAAATTTTTGCCACTGTATTTTTATGCCAGGTTAAAGAAACACAACATAAAACATGTTAGCATTCAGAAAATTACTTGTTGGGATTGCTTCCTTCCCTCCCACTTAGGCAGGTAAGTTTATAAGAATTATTTAGTTGAGAGCATATGAATGTCCCAGGAATCACTGAAATTTATTAATGCTTCCAGATGCATAACACCTTGCATTTAGTTGCAAGTGCGGCCGTTCTAGGATCTCTTCAATCCCATATACACTTTTACCAGTGCTTACTATTTAATGTTACGTCTGATAACATTATTACAAGCCACTATGTCCATATCACACTTTTCTTATTCTGGTTGTAGTGTAACTGTAGCTTTGAATTAGCTCACTATCTAAGTGAGAAAAACAGGGTTACTATTTGATGAGGATAGTGATTTTTAAAAGATGAAAATTCAAATATTACTGAATATTGTGGATTTAAGTATAAATTGAACCAACTTTTAAAATGTTTATAGTTTTAGAAAACAAGACACATACAGTTCCATAACAATTTAAGACCAAGAAACTGATCACCCTCACGTGTAACAAATCCTCAGCCCTCTTTGCGTAAAATGGGCAGAAAATATAATCAGACCAAACCAGCAACTTTTTACACCCTTCTCACATAGGAAGAAAATATGCATATGCTAATGAATCAGGGCTACAAACCCATACAATAGTGAGGCACTCTTGTGTGCGTATTTTTGAAAAGTGGCATAGCCGGTTGATGTGTCCATGTTCAGTGAAGTTAAATTACATATTTATAATTATTAGTTTAATTACAGAACACTACATTTCTACAAAACTTCATCTAGAGATAAGCAGATTTTGCATCACTGCAATTATAGTATTTTAAAAACTCACCTTTTTTCCATTTTTATTTTTACTGGGTGCACTTTACAGACATGACTTACACGCATACAAATATCAATTTTTGTACATTTAATTGAAAGCAGTGCTTCCAGTATTTCTCACCTTTTCCAGATCCTGCTGAGAAGCCTGCAGAAGTGTTTGCCCAGACAGTATCCAGTGTTTGCCATTGCTTATGTAAGAGCCCAGCCCTTGGTCCTGGAGCCAGTTGCAAACCTGCTCCTTTGTCCACTTTGCGAATGGCATGTCCAGCTCACTGCAGAAAATATTACCAGAAAAGACTGATAAATCCTGTGCCTCAAATCTCCTACTCTCATGCATAATGATAAAACCAAAACCTAAGCCATTCACTCATGAGTACTTTGTGGAAGGTAGGACAATCTCCAGGGGAGAACGTGTATCACAGTCAGCTGGTAGGTGAGACTCACAAGAAAGAGGGTTTCTCTACTTCTGAACTGTTGGCACCATGAAGTGATGATTGCTGATGATGTTCTGCCATTATTACAATAAACACAATCTAGTTATACAACTGAAACAGCCACCTTTGCAGCCTAGTATGGCTAAAACTCTGAGGTAGGACCATAATGTTTTATTTCAGCCTTTAATCCCCAGAAGTGCATCAGGCAATGTACTGGAGGAGTATCTGTCACTGCCACATGAGGGCTCATAACTCGCTTTGCACGGCCTCACAGCTGTACTCCTGCGAAGCTGCAGGCAAAGAAAACCCCACTCACAGCAGTACCCCACCACCCAACCAACCTCAACCCTGCAAAGACCATCTCTCAAAGGAGGAACTGTCCTAGATCCACATGCTCCTGTCTACCAGGAGAGGGAATGTTTCATTTTAGCACTGCGCTACTCCTTTGGAGCTGCCACGAAGGCAAACAAAACTGCGCCTTGCACCACTCATCTTACTTGTGAGACTGCCCCAGGTCTCGAGACCAGCCCAGTCGTGGCCCCGCTGTTGCTCTTGTCCCTCCTCTTTTGAACTCCGTCTCGGACATATCATCTGGGTTGAAGGTGGTAGACTGACTTCTTTTAAGCCTAGTTTAAAAGAAGAAAGCATATTCACACTTGGATAAGGAAAAGGCACGCTTCTACTACTGCAACCAACAAAGGTAAGATCTCCTGTGGGGTTTGTAGCTCTTCCTCCAGCCTCCACTGACCTGCTGTTTGCTCTCTCAAAGGCCACACTGGCTTGTGCTCTTGAGACAGTAAACCATGGAGTGGCAGGTCGAAGGGGCAAAAAAGAAGTATGTGCTCCAAGCAAACCCCTGTGCAAGACCCATCTCTGGAGAACAGTAGTTTGTCATCTTTTACTTACTTTCCAAATAACTTCTTGATCCCTCTGGCCTTTTTCTTGGAATCTGGAGAAGGTGGAGTCATCTGTAGACTATCCGTTTCTTTTGGGCGAGGGGGCAAGCCAGCCAGATCCAAGTGATCTGCAGATCCCTTCTCCGTTTCAGCTATTAGAAAGCAAAAGCCCTGTCAAGACTTGCTTGTGCAGCACTGTACAGACACACTTCTCAACTTGGGAACAACTCTTCCTAAAATTATTGAGAGTCATCATGGTAAGAAAATGGGGCAAAGATGGATGGGAAAATCCAGGAGAAACAACACGTGTTCCTCCTCCTTCATGGGCCTGACTCGGAAGACTCCAAGGCAATGCTGTGCACCGGTTAAATGCCTTGCATCCAAAGTGGGCAAAAAACCACCTTGTGAATCAATCAATGAATTAAATGCCAAATTTACTCTTCCTCGGCGAGTGCTCCTACAGTCTTTTCACAGAGCTGAGGCACACGGATGCCCAGGAAGAATTAGGTGTCGTGGCAGAGGACCAAAACAGGAGTCCCCAAAGCACAGAAAAATAAATAATTTCCCTGCAGGCATCTTTCCTAATAACCTGCAGTATACCATAAGCTCCCCATCCAGGAAACTCCAGCAACAAACAACTCCTGCCCCAGGAGCAGGAGTCCCCTCATTTCTGCAAATTGTGGAACAGTTTGTTCCTCTGCAGAGAAACACCAGGGAATTTAGGCTCTATCTGAACTAGATCTTCTCTTTCAAGGGATGCACAGAGACTCTCTGACTAGAGACCCTACACATTACCACCCACTTGAAAGGCATTAAATCTTTGCTCTGTAGCTGCTGTTCTGTATGATGACGAACCTGAGGGCTCCTGTCCCTAAAAGTGAAGTTGTCACAAGATTGTTTAGTAAAAGCTAAACTAACAAAGAAGAAAAGTATTTTAAGATAATTTAAAAAGAAAATTACAAGAATTGCAATATCTACTAGGCTACATAAGCAGAGATGTGCCAGCAAGTGCCAGACAGCTGAATTAAAACCACCATGAGGAATTTATGTCACTTATTTGCTGGGGAACAGTGACAGCACGAGCCTGTTCAGATGAAGCAGCTGTGGCAAGGCAGCCTGCAGCACGGCTGACAGTCAGGCCTGTAACCACTTTCACCATCTTTTAATGTGGCTGTGTAATTAGATGACCACTATCTGTTTTTGAAATGGACTCCCAGACTTCCAGGAGAAAGCCAAACACGTCATGTGAATCAATGTAGAGCATATATTGCTGGGACATGTGGTTTCAGGACACACAGTTAATGCTGAGGCGGCCACAACGTGCCATGAACAGCAACAAACTGCAGGCTTTCCCAGCGTTATCTTTCTGCTGGGCAAGGTTTAGATGACTCAGCCAGAATACATATGAGCATGTCCCATTTTCCACCGATGCTTTAGATGTTAAACCTTACAGTGAAGCGACAAGGTCCCATAAAAGATGATTTCTGGGCACTTCGGTTTGACTGCTACGGAATATGGGGATCCTGCCAGTGAGACAGCACTAATGCTGACCCATGCCTTTGCATTTGTGGTTTCTGCTTTACTTGTGTAAGAAAAAGCGCTAGCTTAGAAAAAACACATTTAAACAACATTCTAGTGAAAGGATACTAGGACAAGGTTGGGTGCATTAGTAGCAGAGATTTGCGGGTATTGCAACAGTTGCTTCTTGCCACCTTGCTCCCCTTCATGCACTGACACAACCCCGACACTTAAGGGGCCACGTGGGAAACCGAGAGGGCCCAGAGTACTTGGTCTCTCTGTCACTGAGGTGCACATGGGGCAGCTGAACAACCACCCTGACTGACACAGCTCTGCTTGCTAAGGCAGGACCCTGCAGGTCTTATCTGCCCTTGCCAGAACCACCCAGGGAATGCTCACATGCTGAGACTGGTTTTTACTACATTAATGGCTCCATCCCCATCTCCCTCAATTATTTCTCATTCATTTATTACACAACAAATATTAACTACTTCTTAGAAGAGGAATTGTGTATCCTTCCCCCCAGAACTCCCCTAAGTGAACGCCTGGGAAATACACCTCATTCCCTGCTTTGCCACCCTCTGAGCTCTTCCAGCGGCTCGAGGACAGACGACATCACAAAGGTGCCTCAGGTATTTAAACACCACTGATTCTCACATGCTACCTCAGTCTGTGGGTAACTTTGTGCTCAAAGTTACGGCAAAGGTCTCTGCAAATTAACCCGCAATCTCTTGCATTAGTAGCAGTTACCGAGACATGGCGCAGCTGACTTTTAGCAGAGGGCAGATGTTACATGAAAACTCCTTTTAGTGATGGACAAGAGTTTGGATGCAGAGCTCTGGTGTCTAGTTCTTGTTTTAAAAGTGTGTGGCCATAACCAGCTGTTAGCAGCAGATACAACACAGCGCTGGTACAGGCAGACATGCAGGATTACTATACCTAAAGTAGGTGCACTTGCACTTCGACTGCGATCTTCAGATATCCAAACAACGCACATAACCACACGCAGCACAACGGGAGAGAACACGCAGAGGGACAAGGTAAAACACAGTTCAAAACTTACATCAGCAAAATACAAGACAAAAGGAGGGAGGTACATGAGACACATGCGCTACACGTAACACTGAATTCACACAGAGATTAGGATTACCAATTCACTGTTAATCCCCCCATCACAAAAAAGAAATGCAGTAGAGCTCTACTGTAGCGAGGGTAAAATAGCACTGCAGTCACTTCGGTGCAGGGAGGTCACTTGCTCCATGACACACTGGGCAGGTGACTCACGCAGGCTCCTGTGAGGTGGCAAAATATCTGGACACCAGCTTTACAGATGGAAGCATTGAAATCCGAATAACATAAATAACTTACTCAAATTTACAGGACCCTGATTTAGATGGCCCATCTTCCAATCTTTTATGACAGCCACAAGTACTCCATTTTGTCAGACAAATTAATTTCAGGATGAAACAAGTGATTACATAAAAGCACACATGAAATAAACCAAAGCAAAGAGTCTAACCCTCAGAATAGACTGTACATCTATTCCAAGTAAGCTAGCAAGTTCCCGTGCTATCTGTCATAGGAAATATGGGCAGTGTATAATCGATGTGTAGGTATGTTACTTCTTTTGAACAAAAATCTAAAATTGTCTTTGAGTAAGTAAGAACAGAAGACGCTTCTGCTCAACAAAGTAGAAGCTATGCCCCTTCAGGCTTCTGAAAGACAGAGCTAAATTACTAAATCTTGTGCAAGACAAAGACAAAAACTGTAGGTGAATGGCAGTAGTTCTGATGCACAGACTCATGTGATGCTTCAACTGGAACAGTGGAAAGACTACTATGACAGAGCAGTGAATACAAGTAGGATTTCAGCTGGTGGCAACAACAACTTCTGCATCAAGCAGAACATTTTGTTTATTTCTGTGTCATATGCAAATGTCATCAAACAACAATACCAAACCCAACCCCCCCCTCCCCTCCCGCCATTACAGGTCCAAAAATAAACACGAGCTTGAATAATTTGTCAATCTTGTTCCGGCTGTCACAATCTCTTTTGTAAGACTGCTTAAATACACACAAAATAAAGAGGAAGACTGAATGCTGCTGCCTCATTTCTGTACATCTGAAAATCTTACGAAAGATAAACTTAGGACAGAGCCAAGGGAAAAAAAATTCCCAAATCCCCTGCGTGAACTACCACCAGACAGGCATTTCAAATCAGCAGCAATTCACCACAAGGTCCCAGAGGAGATATCAAAGCAGAGGTTGAAACAGATCAAATACTTCATTACCTCAGTGAGGCTTTCTTTTTCATTGTTGCTGTTTGATATTTTCCAGTCATTCTACTGAGAAAAGTGCCACCAAGTCACAGTGAGACTAAGGCTGGCCTTCCTGCTTCTTAAGACAGTTGCAGCTGTTGTTTAAGACCCTTCAAAATACACAGAATGTGCATGTAGGTGCACGATACCTACCCAGATTGGGGGCACTCGCAGTCCTCTTGTTATTTTTTATCTTGAAAAAGCCTCGTCCAAACGAAGATCTGGCTTTACGGGTACCAAAACTATCCTCATCACCTGCGCCACCATGAGAAGGAGATTTCGGAGGGAGGGTTGCAAAATTATTAACTTCCACAGGAGGTTTAACCTGCTCAAGTTAGAGAAATAAAATTCAATACCAGGGAATTGCAAAAGACCTTTTGAGAGACACTGCACAGTGACTGCTGACAGAAAACCTGGAGAGTCACTCTCATTTATTACTACAAGAAAACAGAATGCAAAAGCTATAGAGGGAAAAAAAAAGCCATAGAGGAAAATATAAAGATCTTAATCTGAACACATTCAGGATCTGGGATTACCATCATTGCCTTCTAAGAGTAATATATCTTCTTTAAGATGCTTCTCAGTTTCTGCAAGTCTGGCTTGCAGATATAGAAAAGGTAAAAATATAGTCCTGTAAGGTTTTGAACTTTTCCAGCCTTCCAGGGTTTCTGCCTCCCCCACTGGTAGCTGTAGGGGCCGTGAGATGCAAAGAGAGAGTATATTGGTTCTCTGACAAGTGCAAGACAGCCCCTTTTGTCTATCACTGCTCTGCAATTTCAGAATTAATGGATTAACTGACTATGTCCATTGCCAAAGCTCAGAGGAAATTAAGTATCAAGCAAGGAGCATAAATGCCAGGACAGACATCAGACACGCCAGTTAACCACTTTAAAGCAGTAGCTTTAACATTTCTGGTTGTTTCACTGTCTCTTTAAAAGAAGGAGGAAGCAAACCCATTCACAATCCAAATATGATCCTTTGGCTTTTGCTGAATAGATACAGTGTTCATGCCGCAAGTGGTATCTGAGGTATGTCTCTCCCCAGGTAATAATTGTTGCATGCAATCTCTGGCCATACGGTACCATGGGACAACTGTTCTGTAATGACAGTCTCTTCAGGAACAGAGTTGCTGCTCACAGAAAATAATTTTGGGAAGCCAAAGGTTTATAGAGAGATGTTAATCAAAGGTAATGTACACAATCATTAAGATACTAAATGGTTAGCTTTGCTAATTATCTACTGGTGGAATATGAAGCGGAAACATCACTTTAGATGGCAGCCTTATGCTCAACCAGACTGAAAGATAATCCATGTGTGAGAAGACAAGAATGTGTGAGACACTATAAAGCCTGACACTGAAGTGATGGTGACAACCATCATATACTCCTCGCTATCTCATCTGCAGGTCTGCAATTCCCCCTCTGGAACTGCATGCCACAATTACACACAACTGAGCCTTTCAACACCCGCTCACTCTCTGTGTTTCTCCACGTACATGCATGAGTGCACACACACACGTTACCTCTGTTGGCTTCTGTGCAGAGTCTCTGTCCTGTTTGGGAAATATTAAGAAATTTTAGAAGTCACGGTTTATAGCCAGTATCCAATTCATTATGGTTACCCTGAATTGAATTTCTGACTGAAATATCCTTCCCTGCCTATTTCCATACCTCCCCTCCCTCTCCCCTCCCTGATAAACCTCTTCAGAGCTGTATTTTACACAGATTAATTCTTGCTTTTTTTGAGGTCAGTGAGCTGACATGAAAATTCAGTTACTTTGGCTTACTTTATGAAGGATTAGCCACATACATAATGAGTCACATTGCAGTCTGTTAAGGCACTAATTGTCACAGGGGGGACCCAAAGCGGGAATCAGACAGGGTAGAAGCCAAGTAGATAAAACATCCACAGGCTCCACATCTTGGCTGTCCAAATTAACCCTAACCCGTGAACTCTAGCTTTCATCATGAGGTTCTGGTTACATTTTCAGCCCTGTTAACATCCCCCCTGAGCTGTAAGGCACAGCTCAGCGGCTTGGGTATCAGAGAACTCAGGTGCTTTTAGCAGTTTAGGCTGCCAGAAAATTGAAAAGGAATTACCCTGATTTGATGACATTACTAGAGGCTAGCTGCTTTTGGTCATTTTGGAAGAGACCTAAACTGAAGCTATCACCAGACATACAGAGGCTCAGTGTTTTGTTCCTGACCACCTAAAACATATAGTCACCCCAGACAGTGTGGCCTTTCAAAATTATTAGCCTTAAACACAGGTAGGAAGTGATGGTGGGACTTATTTCCTTCTTAAGTCAGCAAAGCATATCAATTAAAAAAAACCTCATTATCTGAGGAAAAACACAGCAGGAGAGTCTTGGGTAAATGACTCAGAAAAAAAAAAAAAAGGAAAAAAAAGCCTGTGTTTTCAAGGACAGATTTTCTCCTTTAGTGAAATCTGGAAGAAGTCACATGTATGTGGCCACTGCTAACACATGATGCGAGGGGCCCTACTTTGACTCAGAATTTCTCAGAAGGTGGCAACAGGGCGCCCATGGGGTCACTGCCTCAACAGAGATGTCACTCCTATTTCTAAGGGGATGGGAGGAAGTAAGAGCCCAAACCAACCGCTTCGGATGCCTCTTTCCTCAAACTGCTCAGACTGCTGGACTTTTGCAGTGAAGTAGTTCTGAAACAACAACGTAAAAACGAAGCCAAGTTACTGGAACGAAATTTCCTAAGATGAATACACTCTCAGGAATCAGCTTTAAAGAACGTATTATAATACATGATGAGACATACTAAAAACAAACATTTTGAATTAAGGCAATCAATGCACTAATCAGAGCCCATGCAATTTGATGAGATACTTTAAGAACCTCCACATCGTAATCACTGCTGCGAATGCTTCAGGGACATGATGCCTACCTTTGGATATTTTTGGCTTCTTACTTAACATTATATTTTCAGAAGCACAAGCAGAAGTTACACAGGCAAAGGAAGTGATAGAAAGAAAAGCTATAAAAACCAGTATTTTTAGCAACAGGCTTCTGACTAATTTAATCCTTAAAGAAGCCAAGCACGTGTGTTTTAGTATTTTATCTTCAGTTCCATTTTCCATTTTGGACCATATAGCCCCCAACTTCTGGTGGGATTTACAGTCTAGAACACTTAAGTCTGGTTGAAAACAAAGTTACCATTAAAGGTTTTTCTGCAACCAGGTATAAATTTGAGAGTAACCACCAAATTTTACAAAGTTACCTATCTTTATACTGACATAAGGGGAGCAGAATTTGGCTTTGGGAATATTCTTGTGGCACTAAGTCACTCAAAATAAAACCAGTCACTGAGCCTCACACTGTGTACCAGGCAAGCCCTGTTGACTTAGGCTCCTTACTAACAAATTGCTTTGACTCAACTTCAAGTTCATAAATAGCTTAACTGATTTCCCTAGGAAATATGGCTACGTTGCAGAAGTTAAAATAATTTTCTCATTGTAGTCAGCTGATCACCTTTCCTCCACTATCAGAAGAAAAAAGCAAATCATGTGCACACGTAGTACGGAAAACTGTAAATTTCAAAGTATATTGACAGTTTACAACCTGATTAGAGATGCTTCACAATGCAAAAGAAATTAACTGCACATGTGCACAGATAAAGTATTGGAAAATAATGATCATGAAAACAACTGGACATAAGCAGAAAACTACCACCACTAAATATCACCTTGGTTAGAAGTAGCTGACATGTTTACATGTGTATATAAAATATGGGGGGTGCGTTGGGGGGGGGGTTCAAGTTGACAATCACATATAAATATATTTCCTGAACACTTTTTATTATGATACTTACACTGGACTATCACACAGCTGGGTTTCTGGGGAGGAACCTGTTGATCTTCCTTCACTGTAAAAACAAAAATGCTATGAAACAAGTAAGGCGTTTGGGGACCCCATCCAAATACCTTGCTGATACAGAAATCCAATCATCTCAGCCTGCTTTAATCCTGTTTCCACTTCAGCTGTCATGATACTTGGCAAATTTTCGCCTCTACAGTGGCAAGTCTTGTAAAAGATAAAGGACAAAGGCGAGCTCAAGAGCCCCAGGAAAGACAACCTGCACTGTAGGTTGCTGAAAATACTGCACTATTCAGCTTAAATAAATGCAGAGGTTACAGCATCTGCAGTGTCTGCAGCAGCTCACCGGCTGCCTGTGAGCCACCCACAGTGTGAGGCATTTTGCTGCAGGTTAGTGCTTTGTTTGGTTTTTTTTTCCAAGACAGGACATAGATGAAATAAATCCCTGCTGGAGATAGCTAGAGCTGCATGAGGCACAGCACAGCAGAAACCAAGCAAAGCTGGTCTTAGGGATAAGATGCTTTCCTCATCCGGAACTGGAAGAAAATTACACATCAACTTCTGCTTGCAGTGATTTTTCACATCAAGATTGATGATGGTTTTAAGCCAACGAGATTTCCTTGCTTCTGGATTCTTAGTATTTAATACTCATTTAGATAAAGCCAGGGATTTGGACGCAGAAGAACAAACCTTTGTCTTGATGCAAGTCCGGTGTGCTTTCCAGTACTCCCTGCAGCGCCAGTCCAAATCTGCAGGGGCTGGGTTTCCTCACGCGGACAAGAAGGGTGCAGGCTTAGAAACGCTGGAGGAAGCTAACAGCACTTCTCACCCTGGGTGAGAGGCTGCCACTGGGTTCAAGCATGGGGGTCGCCGGGTGCCACAGTTCAGCCACAGCCCCAGGGTGCAGCCACGCATCCCCAGCCCGGCCTCCCCAGGACTCTGTGCCTACACATTTTGTGTGTCTTTCAAAATCTCAGGCAGGGCTCTCATAAGAGCAGCTGAAGAAATATCTTTGCATTTCATCATATCAAAGGATGGCAGCAAGAGTATCTCTTTCTCCAGTCTTTTGAAACGCCTCTTGGGTTTCCTTCTGGGGCTCCATTAACAGCTCAAGCTTAGAGCCAGTCAGTCTTTTTGTTGCAGTTTTGCTGGTGCCTTACATCAGTCTTTAGCAACTGTAGAAAATGTCTGAATGCAAATCATCAGGAATGCATTTGTGCTAGCACAGCCAACACTATTTCAGCTAGACCTAGATGATGTAAACCTAGATAAAAATAACGATGCTGTATCCTTCATTACATTAGATCAGTTTTTCTCTCCTTCTGTTCATTTCTTGTGAAGCATCTGGTATAAAGTATGAGTGCTGCTACAAGCAACAACAACCAAACCAATGCTTGCTTACTGAAAAAGATTTAACGCACTTTACAAACATAAGCTCAGTTCGCTACAGCTAGTCAGGTGAATGCTAGCCATGTTTAAATGACTTAATAATATAGACATTGACAGACTATTACTTTCATTAAATGCCACAGAATGTCCGATTTACAACTGAAAAATACATAGAAATAATAATACCTCATTTCACTTGCAGGATCTGGCCTAGGCTGTGTTTTCACTTTCTCTGCAACAGTTTCTGGGCTCTTGCATGTTGATGAAAAAGAAGGGATTGAAATCTGTAAAATACTGGTGTGGATCTGTAAGGAATTCTAAAAAGAATGAAGAATACATGTTACACTGTTTTGAGCTGAAATTAAGCAGTCATAAATAAAAAAAGAGAAACAGATAAACTATGAAAAGAAGGATATGAAATAAGATTTTTAAAAGTTATTTTTTTATTTCTTTCTATTGTAATACAATGTTTTACTACTTGAAAGATGGCACTGAAGATAAAACATGAATCACTGCACAGATAATCTACAGCACAGACAAAAATCTCACAAGTCTCCCAAAGATGCTTGCTAAATCTGTCTCTGCCACAGACCCCATAAAGGGTAGTTCACTTTTCAGGTTTACTCCTGTCCTCAGCCACTCAGAGAATACCAAAAAGCTGCAAAAAATTTAATTTTGTTTTCTTCATAGTGTGTTCATGCTTGTCTAGTTAAGTGAGTCAAGTCCCTGATCTGACTCACAGCTTTAAGAGAAGAGATCTATGGTTTTATTACTGGAAAATGTGACTGTAAAAATCAGAGATTGGACCACAACCTACTTATCATTTAAGTGAATGGATGTAGTGATGACTGCATCCTTTTAAATATGACAGGATATCTTTAAGTCCCAACACGTTCAACATGTTTACTTCAAGTTCCTGACAAATGCAGTTCCTAAAAAAAAAAAAAGCTATGTTTGATATGAAAAGTAATTTCTATGTTTGATAGGAAAAGTAGTTTAGACCTAGTCCCATGACAAACACAGCTATTTGCTGTCTCCTGATCCCATTTGATCATTAAGAAAAATAAAGGTAACTGAACTCAAATTAAACTCCTCGGTAGCTTTCACAAGAAAACCACATTCTCCAAAAGGACATGGGACATTAGTAAAAACTGTGCAACCCAGAAAAAAAGTCTTTTCAGAAACTTGAGTTTTGGCATCTGCAATACGAATCCAGCACAAGCACTGCTTTCAAGGAGTGATAGCATTAAATGTGGAAGTAAAAAGATACCTCTTCGTGAACATTCATGTTAAACTCATCGTGGACTGGAGATACTGTTACTGGGGTTGGGGACGGACTTTTCTCTGGGTCAGTCAGACTTGGCGTGTCCAATAAAACTGTGGAAACGGACCCTGAATTCAAGAAGTCTTCACCGTCGCTTTCCTTGCCTGAAGGGAGAGAACATGGAAACTTGTTGGCTTTACTTCTGGATAAATGATGACCCTTGCTTCCCTACAAGGTGCAGCCAGCATGCTCATTTATGGGCTAAAAAGGAGGTTGGGATCATTATGTGGTGGCAGAGAAGGGTGTGTGTGTCTGTGTGTGTGACTGGTAGGAAAGATGAGAAAAAGCCAGCCTGACCCTCCACTGTAATAAGGAAGGAGAACTATTCCACAGCTGCTGCACATGGTGGTTTGTGAAGGCTTCACTACATGCCAAAGATGTGGCATGTCATCGCAACACAGCCTGGGCAGCACATCCACTTTGCTACAGACATTTTTGCAGCTCTCGGGCATTGCTATTACAGTGTGTGCAGCCGCTGGGGCGGTGCTGGTTTGGCTTGTAGGGACGTGTGTGCTCAGGCACTGCTCTGCTCAGCCACCAACCCCTCCCCAAGAACACATGCAAGAGAGGGGAACAGCAATTTTTAGCAGTTAATGGCAGCCAGCCCTGAAAGGCATTTCAGGAGGCTATGGGAAGAACCTGAGAGCTTATAATATTTAAACTAATTTTACAAGGGGAAATAAGCACTGTGAGAATAAGTTACTACTACCAGACAGTAAATGGGACAGCACCCAAATGTGCAGCTGCCTGGACAAAAAAGGCAATTCACCAGTTCACACCAGCTAAAGAACTGGCTTTTACTCTACTTAAGAGATGCCTTCAAAGATACCAAGTGTAAGAGTTGATATAATACTAACAGAATGCACCCAGAATTTAAATGACAATAGAGTTTAATTTTTTTTGATTGTACAATACCTTTTTTACCTTGAGCCAATATCACCATGTCTTGAACTTTCTTGTACCTATTCAGAGATTGCCGAAGCTCTTCTATCTTCTTTAGGGAAGTTGTGACTGTGCTGCTTCCTCCAGCAAATCAAAAATAAGAAATACTAGATATTCTTCAGTTTAACTGGCTGGGAGACTGAAAGAAATGGGAAGTGTGGATGGGACAGCACTTAGATCTGAGAGGCTTTGAAATATCAAAACCTGTATTTAGCAAAAACTATCATCTGGTTAATCACCAGAATTGTCCCAGCCTTGAAAGTGGATTTCAGCTCTCTTGTTAAGTCAAAGGTAGAGTATAATAAATTTGCCATGTACAAAGAAAGGAGTAATCAAAGGATTTAGGGCTTTGGTGATGAAAAGAAAACATCCTACAAAATGCACATGCATATGAATGTGCAAAACTATACATGAAAACAACTCATACTTTACAGAAAGCCCTTTTGGAAATGCAGACTGTGATATCTCTCGTGGAATTTGTATGGAGCTCTTTACATTTTCAGAACATGGTGTAAATTGCACTCGCACTGAACTGAATGACACAACAGTGTAAGGACTCTGTATACATACAACAGAGCTCATAAATGCTCACTGATAGTCCCTTAAAGGCACTGCAGTGCTTCTGACTATAGTGAACAATTGATTCTTACAAATTTGATTTTTAACTGAATGTAACAAGTTTATATGTGAAGATTTTCTTACAGATTTAACTCAATCTGATAAATGATTACTGAAAAAATGACTTGCTACCTTTTCTTCATTTGCTGCCATTAGAGATTCTACAGCCTTCTTCATCTTCTGCACCTCTATATCTAAAAGCACAATACAGTTCTGTAAGTTAATTTAAATAAGACAGTGCAAGGAAATAAGAAAAACAAACAAACAAACAAAAAAAACCACCTAGAAGCAACTTGGTAATATCTGAAAGTAGATTTTCAAATTAAAAGACAAAACATAAGCCACTTAAATTCTATTTTAGATGGAAAAACATAGAAGAAAACCCTTTTTCTTCAAAACTTTTTTTCTGTTATTTTTGTCACGGAAATGATGAAATTCAGGAAATTTTCTTACCCACCCCCCAAGTAGTAAAACTACTACTTGACTTTCACTATCTCTTTCAAATAATTGCAAAAAAAAAAGTCCAAACCACAAAATACTACGTTTGGAGTGCAATAGAACACATCTTCATTACAACTCTCAACAAACACCCCAAATGGCATCTCAAAAACCCACTATACAAAGCAATAGGATTAATGGATATGATGAAGAAAGCATTGTGCAGTGATGCTTAGTCTTAATTCAGTATGGATGCAGAAATGAGGACAGCACAATGGAATGCTACAAGTATTTGCTGTGATGAGCAATCATGCTAGAATATATATCTTGTAGTTCAGACTTGGAAAAGGTCCCTAATACAGACATCAGTGTTCTGTGCTTCATCTATAATCCTTATTTACAAAGAAGTAGAAATACATGGATGTATGTCCTAACAAGGTTAGATTTTGGAGGTGTTCTAGATTAGAAATTCAGAAAGAATGCAAATAATTTCCCTTTTTGCTAAAAATCTACCTTGTATAAATTAAGTAAATGTTAAGCTTAACCAGAAACATAGGCAGGTGGCCAAACTGATAGGCAAGAAAGCATTTTACCTTGTTTTAACTTCACTAAATTTGTTGAAAAACAGAGTGGGAAGAACATTTTCCTCCTTAATGAAATGCAAGAAGAAAGCAAGCTGCCTGGCTGCCTTTTTAAATGGAAGACATTTAGACACATTGGGCTGAAACTGCAACTGATCCAGTTCCAATGATTTTCACTCAGTTATGCTAACTGAAAATCTGGCTTACTGGACTGCAACTGCATTTCTTTTAGAGGCAACTGTTTTGTGAGTCTCCATGAGACCAAATCTTTGTCTATCAGCTTTTCTTCAGAAAACTTTGTACTTCAAATGTGATATATCCACCCTTACTCTCAAATTTTACTCTAAGTGTAACTAAGGGTTATAGATGATGCAACCTAACGATGTTTGTTAAAGCAGTTTTGCAAACACATGCAGAAAGCTATTCTGGAAAGCACTTCTGAAATGCAAATGCTTGTGGAAAGACACCATAAACCTTACTTTTATCTTTGAGCTTCTTTCTACAATTTTCATCTGTGCAGGAAAATCCATTGGATTTGAAATTAGCATGAAGGTTACAACATTAAATAATTTTTAAGACAATATTGATACTTAAGGAGTCAACTATTCCTCACATATTATTGCAGAAGCAAGTAATTAATGGTTTCAACCTATACTCCCCCGGTGCTAACATACCTAATGACAAAAAATAGTCTCACTACTACTATCTATCTCAAGGATGTATTTTTCAACTGTATGTTTTCACTTGTAAGGCTTCAGAAAAGGCTTATGCCAATACATTACTCTTAACCTAACACTTTACTGGCAAAAGCCAGCTAAGTGATAATGTATGCATATTTGTTCAGAAAGAACCATTCAGCTAATGGGGCAGATAACCTGTGTTATCTACAAACAGCATTACTTCATATTGGTCCAAGGCAGAAAAAAACATGGTTCATCATTGCAATCTCCTGCTGAGCTATACTGAAAACTAATCTAAACCTGAGAACCAGAGGTTAACGGGAGTTCAACGTACACATCAGCCCCCAGGAAGAAAAGCCCCATATATGTAGTCATAAATACAAAAGTCAGACCTTGTTCACATTGAAATGTTTAAAAAAAAAAAAAAAAAGAAGGAATCACAGTTGAATGGGGTCACTTCTAATGATCTTATGCAGTAGTTCTGAAAACAGATCATTTTATTAAATAAAATATGACAATCTACACACAGCATTTTCCTCCTCAGGTCAGACAAGACTAATTATCTCTTGTGGCTTTACTTTTCTAAAAAAACCATACTTTAAAAGCACAATCTTAAAATCAGCAATAACTATCAGTGAAATATATCCACAAGTGAAATTGCAGCAGGTCTAAAAATCAGTGGAAAATTTTTGTGACGCTTTAAAGAAAAATTTTAAATAAGTTCCCAAATCGAAGTTTCCTCCAGATAAATACTGATTTTGTTTCTTCTTCGCAAGCGAATAAAAGAATTATCTGACATGTAAAATTTCTGGGCTAATTCAAGCTTAATTAGGATTTAGGCTTAACCAGTGCACAAATCCAGAACCAGTCCTCAATTTCACCCACTTATGGCTAGAAGATTACACTGAAGATTTGCTGGTACACATCATACTTCGGTTTGCAGCATGTCTTTTCCCCTTCCTTACAAGTAAGGGGTGTACAAGCAAAGCCCACCATAGATGCCCACACAGAAAGTTTCCTTCTCAACTTAATCTTTTTGGGGAACTTGTTGAAATTAGTTTAAGGATTTCTTTGCTATTATAAAGTGCATCTTTTGAGGCACCATGCAAGCCATGTAAAGAGCTAACTAGGGATTACTTAGGCTAGTTTAAAGTTGATCAAGAACTTGCTATGACAGTAGGCTCAGCAGTTGCATTGTTAACATCCACTAAATATATTCAAAGAAGTAAACACAAAGAAAGTACATGAAAATTGAGGCTTTTAGCTGCTGCTTCCTGTACAGCCATTCATTGAAACATAAACTCAGATGAGGCGACTGAGGAGGACATGGTGAGAGAACCTCCTTTCTCCTTACCTCTGTCCAGTATTTCAAGTCCTTCTCCTTTCAGCTTGCAAACCAATTTTTCTTGCAACCTTTTAACCTCGGCTTCCTTCTGCTCTAGTTTGTCTTTCAAAGCTGCCAGCTCATCCTGTAACAGACACAGAATCACTCAGTGACAGCTTCCATGTGCATCTGAGATGTTTCCAAAATTCCCTCCTATGAAGCACAGTGGACAGGTCCCCAGTCAATGGAAATGACTAATGACCCCCTGACATTTACACTGGCTGAAGGTACACCCACCAAACTGACTGAACATCAACAGACCGCTGAGTCCATAAGGGGGCAAAAGCAGGGGTCCTATGGTCCAAAATTGGCAGGCTCATGTATAATTGAAAAGAGATTTTACATTTAAATTAAAAAGAAAGAGTAAAGCAAAAAAAAAAGCAGTTTTCTTATTTATTTAAGCTTGCAGAGACAGAAAAAGTGCAGGTGATGAGGCTGAATGCTAAAATCTACAACCGCGTATTTTGGTATTTATAGGGCGTTTTGCATGTTCAAAGCTGGACAGCTATGGAACTGTGCTTACACCAGGTTGAGGACAGTTTCAGAAATAACAACTGCTTCTATGAAAAAAAAAAATCAATCACAACACCATCAAGCACATAAACACATACTGGAAAGCAGTTCAGATGAAAATATGGTACCTCTGCCACAGTTTGGGTTTGCTGATCAAGCATTAGGAAAGGAAGCTTAGAGCTGAGATTCATGGGAATAAGACAGATGGTGTTTGGGGGAGTTGGGGTGTATTAGATAAACGCTGTCAAATTTTAACTTAGATCTAACCATCTGCACTAGCAACTGACTGGCATGGATCCATGCATTTAACTTTTTAAAATTTGAGTCAAATCCTACCCAGTTTAGTAACATGTTTCTTTGATGTCCGAGGATATCTTGTGCAACAGCATCATCAAGACAGGACCCTCAGTGCAAATGTACCCAACACTGAAAATTTAATTTGTTCAGTTTATAAAGAAAACAAAACAAGACAAGACTCATAATTTTGGCATTTACAGCTTCTAATTGAAGTTTTAAATCCTTAAAGGAATAAACCAAACTAGAATACTGTGGCTTAGGTATATTCCTGAGCTTACCTCAAAAGATCTGTTGCAAATATATAGTGATGTCTGTGACCCAAACTATGGCCCAGACTACAGAATTTCCTGAAACAGGTTCCTGTTTGCTCTAAAGTATCATTAAAAAATAGATCAATCTTCAAATTGTCAAGAAATCAAAGCTCCTTTCAGAACAATGGTTGGGCAATACAATCCTCCAGTGCTCCAACTTGGTACTGATTTTGATAGGATTTCTGACAGTGTAGAACCCATGCTTCTCCAGAACAAGACCATCTCTTGGTCACTCGAGAAGCTGCTGTTATAACCATGGGCAACTAGAGCGGCATGTGCTTGTTGATATGTATTTCTTTCCCTGAATTAGAAACACAGTATGTAAATTTACATGTGGGAGAGAGAACAGTATAAAAGAATAAATATTTTCTAGCTAGTTTTAATGAATAAATTTTCTATAAAAAGGTGAGAAAAACTTCTGTTTGAACATAAGCTATAAGAAGAGGCCATCTTCCTTTGAAAAGGGAATGATTTTAACCCAAGTCTAATTCCATTATGTGCAACCTATGCAAAGTTCACAACACTAAAAAGCTCCCCCATCCAATGTAAAAGCTGTTTACATGGAATATCTACATAACGAGCTTTCCACATCGAATGGGAAAGGGCGCACTGCATATCAACACTCAGCAATTAATGAAGAACAGAACATGACAGCACGATGCAAGACAGACTGCAAAATGGTGGAACATGGATTCAAAACAGTCCCAATGTTACCCAGAAACTACTACACCTTTAGCATCTGGCTTTTTTGCTCCATCCGCTGCTTTTCATACTGCATCTGACCCACTTTGATTTTCATACTAGAAAGTTTGGCCATTAAAGACTGGTAACAGAGACAGAGGAGTGAGAGAAAACTAAAGATAGAAAAGAGACAAGGCTAAATGGCAAAGAGAAGTTACACACAGAAACAGGCTGCTAGAATTACTTAGGTGAATGCTTTCTCTTCAGAAGTGGCTGATTTTTAGCACATTTAGGAGAAAAAAAAATGCTTGGCTTTGGTCTCACCTATGGCACACACCTTATGTACTGCAACTGGCGTTTCTTGACACATATGTGAAACAAGGGTCTAAACAGGTAATAAATTTGCTGTTAACAGCCAGCTGCATGGTAAGTTATCCCTCATAAGAAACAATACCCAGATCTGAAAACCATAGCATGAAATTTGGAAATAAGCCCTGTTGCTAAGTGAGTACCATGAAACCCCTGGGCTTGACAGTGCTCAGGATTTCGCAGGGTGCAGGCAAGGACTGGGGGAAAGAGAGCTAACTTCTAAAGCCTGACTTGCACCCATCTCTGCTTCTTCCCCTAGGCCTCACTTACTTTGGTTGTTTTCAGTTTTTTCTCATACTGGAGTCTTTCATTGTCCATTTCTCCCACTCTCAACCGCAACTCATTTATTTCCTGGATCAGATCCTGATTGAGGGGAGAAACAAGACCAGAAACAACAAAGAAATTCAGTAAACAAAACAGCACAATAGCTACCCATTGGTAAGACCATAAAAACACCGCAGCAATAAAAGGCACTCTGTACAGAAAACCACACCACCCAAATTCATAACTAAGTCAAGCAACGCAGAGCTTCCTAGATATCCAGGGACTGTATTTCCCAGTTTCTGCATTACAGCTCTGAATGCAAGAGGGCAGAGGACAAACGGTGACATAAACTGAAGTTGTACTTGCCGTGGTGAGGGCCAAAAAAGGCCTCCTGCCCCTCTGGCTGCTCAACTGCTTGGATGTCCACCACCAAGAGTGGGTAATGGAAAACCATGGCAGCCGTCCTTTGAGATGCAGCAGCCACATCCTGCCCTCCCCAGTCCCTCCAACCCCAGGCTCACCAGCCGGCACATGCTTTTTCAAAAGACGAAGTGATTACAGTGTAAATGCCCAGTTCGGCCACTCAAATGAGCCTCTGTAACTGAGGACTGAATGGAAGAGCCATTACTGGTGTCTATGTGCAGAAAGGCGTATGCGTTTAAGCATCAGTGGCGCCACTACTACTGAGCTTTGCAAAATCAGCCTGGTTTGGAAGAAACTTGGAGCTACCACCAACTCACATCTGAACTCTTCAGAAGAATGCCTCGACCTCCTGGCCATCCTCCTGAAGGGACCTACCAGGTTTGGAGGTCTGAGTGCCACCAGCTCTACAGCTCCCTTCCTGCAGTGGTCAAACAAACCTTGAGTTTGACTGCCCCACCAAGGTGCAAGGCACTCTTTCTCCAAACCTCCCTGTCCTCTAGATGGGGAAATGGGATCTTAAGTGGCTAGCTGCAGACCTGCAGGAAGCTGGGGGACAGCCAGGACAGTGTCCCTCCATATAAGAGATAACGAACCAGCTCATTGGGAAAATGATCTTCCTTCTCAGCAGGGGAAGACATTAACAGAAAGCTGTGGCTTTTGCACAACTCAAAGATGTCCAGCAAGCTTCTGCCTCATGAATATCTCAGTGACCTTTAGTCTATGTATGGACACCAGATCAGTGTTACATTTGTGTTACAAAAGAAGAAAAAAAAAGAAATGAAATGAAAAAAACCAGTTTCTCAGGAGCTACTGTAATGCTGTATCACCAGGAAACTCTTCTAAAGAGGAAATAAGCTCTTTGTGCACCCTAGAAAACATAAGAGGACTTGAACTGCAGCGTAACAGCTTTTAAACTACCAAGAAGAAAGTATGGTCCTTAGGTTCGCTTGTCTTCCGACACGGTAAGGCAAATCCTATCCATGTCAAGCAATGCTCTGTGTCGAGGTAACGACTGTAAGCACAATTTTTCAGAGTTAATTGCATAATTAATAGCAACTTATAATTTATACACTAACAAGCCAGCAGCTGACATTTAGAGGGTATTCATGGGTCCCTAGTAACACCTGCCTTCCAGCCGCATGCCACATTTTCTGAGCTTACAAAACTCTGGTTATTATTTTGTGCTTAATGAATCTGATGACAACAGAGCAGCATCTGCATTTCCTTAGCACGATCCAAGCCCAATTACCAGAACTACAAGTAAAATGAAAATATAGAACATTTTGATGCTATTAGTAATTACTACTGCTACTGTGTGACTTTCTGATTTGGGTACACCTGCAATTCCTCCCTGATTCTTCAATGTGTGACCTTTACAAAGCCCACCACTCTTCTAAGTATAAATGTACATGGATGTCAGTCTGCATGACCACATTAATTCAGCTGTTCCTTATCAACACCAAGTGTTTGAGATCTCTAACAAATCTATGTTCTCAGGTCTGACGGTCAGCTTTGACACAATGACAATTGATTTGTTTGGGGCTTTTCTCTCCTGCGACCATGATGTTAACTTTGGCATGATCCAATGTCAAAATACAGTATGCAGCAATAACTGCTGAGACTGTTGCCTACATATTTACCACTTGAACTATGTGACTTTTAAAATACTGAAGGAGGAGAGGGAAACCAGTCATCTGTATTCAAAAGGCCCCTTTGAGGCAAAATGAATAACAAAGCAAAACCCTTCTCCTTTTATGAAGAAAAAGTTAGCACAACTCATATCGATTAACAGCAGTGTCAAGATACACTCACAATGTCACAGAAAACAGAGCAGAATACAAGAAGAATTGCAGCCAGAGTGTACGATCTTGGAGCGGAAACTAAATTCTTGTGCTTAACCTGTTGTGGGCCTCATGGGTAATAGAATCCTTTACCCCTAGTAACTCGTTACCAAAAAATACTGTACAATTTCTCAAGGGTTAAATAGAACTAAAGACAAGTCCCAACAGCGTGCTTTGTCCTAAAAATATTTTCAATTACTCTCTTGCAAATGCAACATTAAGTCATGTCTTAAGTTATCTACAACACAGCAACTGTAAGTGACATTCCTTCTCATCTTTTTTGAGGCAGAAGAGTATATTAGAGATTCACCAGGTTCTATTTACATACCCTCATTAGTATAAAAGAGATGGGCAAGCCTTGCATACATGAGCAGAAAAAAAAGAAAACCTTGCTACTGAATTACTATTTAACTTTGGACAAGTTACTGGAGGTAGCAATTGTCAAAGGCACTGAGGTTCCCTAAGAAATCCTAATCCTCACAGTGTATTTCACTTCCCTGCTTGCTGTCCTGAAACATTCACCCTTTTCTTCCACTATTCTCACAATTCAACTGATTTGGACTATGAACCTTTCAACAGGAAGGACTGTGCCTTGCCCCCTCCTGCAGCAGCCCCAGCAAGGAGATCACAGCATTGTTTGAAACCTGAAGGTGCCAACCATTATAACTGTTTATGACCTCAAGAGCTTTTGGGACGAGTGTGATGCTTGAGGTGTGCATGGGACATACAGTGGCACTCAAGGTGTTGTACAGGTTCATCAGGATCTGAGATCAGACCAAAAACCCACTGAGTTTCCTGTCTGACTTGGATGAATCAGGAGTAATACCATCACCCACATGGTGGCCTGTGTATGGCACCTGCTTTGCTCGCATTTAGTATCTCCTCTTCGGCCACGCATAAATGGGTTAAAATACCTGCCCTGGAAGTAATGCATGTTCTTGTCTTAAAAACCTACAAAACAGGAAAGAGCCATGAAACGGTCCTCTTCTGATCCAGAGTCAGGTCCCTCCATGCTAACATGCCATGGCTCCATGCCATGCTGGCAGCTGTTCCTTGTACGGATCCATGAATGGAGCTGATGGGGTGGGACACACAGACTCCTATTTCCCAAAGCCTTTTCCTTCCCTGCTCAGGTTACTTGTGCTCTTCATAGCAGCACCAGGGAGGCAAAAAAGCAACGACAACTTTAAGCTTCAGGGGTCAGAGGTTTCCTTACTGGTACTGGAAACACCATCAACATTCGTCATTTTGCTCCCCTCAGAAATTCACCTACACAAAGGAGACTGGTGGTGTTTAAATTGTGGAGAATTCCCCACGAGTGAGCCAGTTTACCCTGTGGCTGCTGCTTCAAAGACCATGTCTGGTTATGGACTCCTCCCCTAAATAAACTCCCTTGTACAATATTTTCTTACATAAACTCAGCCCAACTCAGACCACCCGTGCTCCTTAAGGAAAATAATACTGGTGTTTGCTGAGAAAGCGGAAAGACTGGAATGACTTAAAGAACAGAACAATTATAAAGCTCTATTAATTATACAATTAGCTTTGGAAAAGGTGTATTTGTGAACATCTAGACAATAAAGTCCTAGAGCGCAAAGGAAAAAAAGCTTACAGATCTAGTGAAGCTTCTGTTTAGAGGGAGAATGGTAAATATGAGAAACCTACCAAGCTGGAATGGGAAGTTGCAATGACAGACCTAAGTAAAAACTGGATAATATGAAGGATTTAATCTGAATGGTAATTCTGTAGGAGACAGTATCTCCACAAAAGTTGTTTTAAGATGTCCATGTTTTTGTTTCTTTTCGCTTTCTTTTCCCTAAATAAAAACAGAAACAATACTCATAGTTTTTCTTTCCCAGTTTGGGTATGAATTTTTTTCTATTTTGAACACTGCAAGTAAACGCCATAATTTGTTTTATGATATTTTAAACATTTATTTAAATACTCAGCTCTGATGAAATAATTGATCATCTACTACTTTAAACAGGAATATAACTAGATCAACACTGAACAAAATATTGTGTACTTCTGAATAAGTACTGCTTCCAAAACACCTGTTAGAAATTTTGCATGGCTGAGACCCTTACAACTAATTAGCCATTCATTTTTTCCACCAAAGAGAATGGAAATTAAGACATGTTATCACTTTCAGTGTCTAAGCCTAAGCCTTTTTACAGCTATAAAATGTTGAAACAAAGAAGAAAAATAATTTCTATCACACTAAACTACATCATTATGGTTTTCAAAGGGTTTTTTTACTATTAGTTTTATTAGATTTTTTATTTTTTTTTATTAGTTTACTATTAGTTTATAGTTTTTTTATTATTTTTAGTAATAGTGCATTAGTTCTGGTATAAATATCCAGGATATAAATCTATATAGCCCCTAATTATAGTAATTACCTTTTAAACATAATTTAGGTTATCTTATTTTTATCAAAGACATTACGTGTATTTTAAGGTATTTAAAAGAGAAAGGTCTTCATAGCTGCCATGCAGGTAAGCCTCTTGCAGAGCCCACCGAGTTGCAGTGCATGTTGTGGTCCCCGCACTGCAACCACTGTTCTGGGAACAGAGGTAGCTCCCATGTTCGCCTTCTCGGTATGCTGAGTTGTGCTATTAAGTTATGGAGAAACTGCAGTTCGGGGTGGAAACAAAGGAAGGGGGAGTACAGGAAAGTCAAACAATGAATCATATTCAATAAAAATAAGGATAGAAAGAGAGAAACAAATCACTCAACGCCCAATCACTTTTGTTACCTGTTTTAGAAACCACAAGAAACCACAAGGTGTTTACAAGTGGAGATGCAGTGGAATCCAGTTCTGAAAGCAGCTGCTCACTGCAGTCATTTGGATCAAACCTTGTTTCCCCAAAGGAGGGAAGAGAGTTGATAAAGCACTGATTGAAGTGGAAGGGGAAAATGTTGTCTCCTGTAATGACATTATGGCTTCTTTCCTTCTATAAAGGTATGACATCTGGAACATCCACAATATGAACATCTGACATTTCAGCTCATTTATGAGTCCATAATTGGAAGTTCTGTTCTGCTTCCTAGGCAGACTCCAAGGTATTTCTGATACGGGGTATGTCACCCTGGTAGCAAAGCTCGGCCTGGCTCTTGGAGTTTCCTGGAAAAACTGGGTTTGCCCACCTGTTTTGAGGTTTTCTGGCTTCAAACACGAGCAAGGTTCAGCTACACAGATCTGCAGTGCACAGAGGGCAAATGCCTCAGGAGAGTGCTGCCAGCTCTCCCTGGCACAGTACGCTGCTGGGCTTGAAGCCAGCCTGAGATGAGTAACTGCTGACCTGTCGGTCCTGGGCTTCTGTAAAACTGAGATTTGAAGTGAGTCTTCAAAATGCCCTCACAGTGAGTCATTCCATTCTCTCTGTTACTGAAACCAAACGTTATGTCTTTTAGTGTGCTGTGTCTTTGCACATGCATGCTTTTTGTATTTGCGGTTGGCTTAAGTGTTTTCCTCAGACATGCCTTGCTAAGAAGACGACAGTTTCAAGGTGGGACAGGAGAGTGCAGTATGTTCATGATTTTATTTAAATCCATCCTAAACGCCATCCCTCCGGACATCTGATGGCAAGAATCAAAAACTGTGTTTGGAAATCTTTCTTTGTAAATGCAGAGTTACCAAAGAGGACCCTTTTTATTTTAAGAGATACAGATTTTAACCTTAAAGTTGAGTTCCCTTCTTACCTGGCAAAAAAAAAAAAAAATAATACCAGGAAATTTTCAGGTAGTATGAAGCCACACACAACTTTCACAATTTATTTGGTTGGGTTTTACTCACCTCTGTGTCTCTGAATCTGTCCTCATAGTCCAATCTGTCCTTCTCTACAGATGTAAGCTTTAACTTCAGAGTAGAAATCTCTGCCATAAGATCCAGCTTCTGAGTTTCCAGGGATGTTCTGCTTAAAAGCTCCTGATTCAAGATAAAGAAGAAGAGAACAGAATTATTCATCCAAGGGGAAGAAATTAGTAATTTATTTCTACAGCTAAAGGCCTCTTTCATGGGGAAAAGCATCACCCTCTTCCTTGCATTATCTGAAGCCTTGGGACACAGCTTTTACCCATCTGACAGACTCCAGGCATCTAGGATGCATCTGAGATCACGGGGGCACTATGACAAGTTGGCTGCCTGGACAAGGAAAAAGCTTGTCTGTCATCAGACTTGCTCTGGGCAGCAAGGAGCTTTTGAGGGGAACCCACCCAACCTGCTAGAGGCTTTAATCCAAGCCTCTTTGAAATTTAGTGAGGAAAGGCTCAAAGAAGAGCAGAACTGGATTTCTACAGTGTAAAGCAACACTGACATTATTAAGTACAAAGACTTTAAAGCAAATATGGCAGAGAATTATCACTTCATTAAGAGACATCAAGGGGTGCAACACCTTGAAGTGCACTGCCCTCACCAACGCAAAATGCAGTTTGTTAAGATAGAACAAAGTCAGACAGCAAGACAGACATGGAGCTGTGAAATACCTGTTGCAGCATCTCTTCCGTGGCATTTAGCTTCTCCCTGTGTTCCTCTAGACAGAACTCCAGATCCCGAATCTTTTCTCCTTGGGCCTCCACCTGGTCTGTAAGCACACTTACCTGCACAAGTGGAGAAAAAAGGATGCACATTTAGTACCTTGCACCCATGCCATATGCATCGCCTGAAGAACTGTATGGGAGTAACAGTGCTGGATGGGCCAAAGATTAAATGGGGCCA